AGGGAGCATCAGGCTTTTATGTGGGTGGGGGAGGAGGCTTGTAGGGCTGGGGGGGAGGGGGAGGGGGAGGGGTCTGGGTTTCGCTTTACGGCTGGGGAGCAGAGGGAGAGTGTTTTGGAGGGGTTTAGGATTAGGGGGGAGGGGGAGGAGAAGGACCTGGAGATGAGATGAGGAAGGGGGTGAGCTTGATGAGAGGGAGCGAGGTGAGGTGAGGTGAGGTGATGGGGGAGTGAGTGTGGGATGGTTTTTACCTTGCCTTTGTTTATCATGCTGCAGCTCTCCGTAAGTAGAACTTGCAACTTGTTGCCGGTCTTGATTCGTGTACAGCAACGCGTGTCTGACTGCTTCTACTTCATAGTAGTATATTGCGAAATGGTCATGCTCGAATGCATGCAGCGCACTAGCCGGGTAGACCGGCCCTGGGATTTGGGTTTTTCTTTAGCGAGGCGTTCTGTACCGGTATTTTCTTTTCTCCAGCCGAACTCCCGTACTCAACATCGGGACCCCTTTTTAGGCAGGCCTTCCCGCAAATTTCAATGTCGCATATCAAGGCTGGAGAGTACAGACGCCGTGAAACTGCTTCGTTCCTCGGTTTCGGTATAATCAGACTGAAAGACTGTAAGGAGGCCTACTTAAGCGAGCCGACGATTATATATACATGGGCCTGCTGCCGTTGGTAGGAGCGGATGTCGACATATTTTCTCTGCATTCCTTTTATCCTCCACTGAACGTTATATATATATATATACACAGGAGAGTGTTTGAAACAGAAAAGGTCAGTACTACGCCTATGGTTCACCGCCCGGCCGCTGCTCTCGCTGCCGCCTCTTTCTGCGCTCGGGAGACTCTCGCTTTCTGAACCTCTTTCCACCACGCAGGCTCCTGTCCTGCAGGTCCCACGTACGTAGCACCTTTCCCCGGAAGCCTGGCGATAATGGCACTGCCATCGTCGTGTCGCAGCGGACAGCGCTTATGCAGCAGGGCCCGTAGCCGGGCCACGTCCTCCGGGTCGGAGAGCTCCCCTATCCTGATGCAGAACCTGTCGTAGCGGAACGAGACCGGGTGCGCGTAGTGCGCGTGGGTGGTGCTCTTCATCCAGCTCGGGTTGCTGCTGTCGTCTGGGTAGCGCAGCTTCTCGTACCTTCGCACGAACACGTTGCCGTGTACGGTTTCCGACGGGCGGGGATCCTAGGCGCCGAAAGTTGTGAGCCGCGGCGGTAGGATAGCCAAAAAAAAACAGTTCGCGGGGATGTCACCCGTGATGTTGATGTATAGAATAGAATAGTAAAGGAAGAGCTCTTCAGGATGGTCCCTCGGGGGCTTTTGAGATACTGGGATGAACTAGACTTCTACTCACCGGATCTGCGGCGTCTCGCACGCCAACCCACTCGCCCTTTGCCACCTTCTTCTTCAATCCGGCGCCGTTATTGGTGAAGAGTGGGATCGCCACGCAATGGTCTGATGAAGTTTAGGGATCAGCAACTTCTCAAGCCTGCTTGTCTCTGCGACGAAAAGACAGATAGATACATGCAAGAATGCCGGTCGCCCGGGTGTGCTTACCAACATAGCAGTCCAATATGATCAAGCGACGAAATTTCGAATAGACGTAAGGACCTAGCTTGCATAGACTTGAATGTATGCCCGGGTTCACGGGCGGCTGTTCGTAGTCGGCGATGTGGAAAGGCACGCTGATGACGTCCCCTGGAGAATACGTCTCTGGCTTGAACTTGTCTCCGTACTTCCGAAAAGTAATGACTGATGCTTGCTGTGGATTGGATAGAGGGCGGCCGCGTCCTCCTCGTCCAGTGACGGTCTGTGATCTTTTGGGACGATTAGATCCATTTTGGGCTGGAATCGCAGTCTTCCCAAGCTGGGGGAACTTAGCATCAGGGAGGTCAAGTACAGCTGCTGCCATGGCTAGGAGCTCTCGAACAGCGAGTATAAGCACGAACACTTCTGGCGCGTCAAACTGTTTGCAATGTAACTAAGAAGTAATAAGCACAATTATGCTCGAGTCGCCAATGGTGGACTGAATCATATACAAGAGAAGAATGCGTTCTTTGTAATCAGCCGTGGGTTGATACACAAAACGAGCGATCAAAGGTCGCCGATGAATAAAGGGGGCTTCAACGCACTAAGTTTAGCGGGAAGCGAGAGTAGGATCGCATTCAACAACGGCTAAAGAAATTCAGCAGAGGGTTTCGCCGTTTGCATCACCTGGAGATGAACACCAAGCTCTTTGTACAGGTCAGATATACTGCATTGCTGCTACATAATGTAGCACTGCGCACATGGGGGCAGCTGCTCACGAATTAAATATCGCCCCCGCCCCGAAATCAACACTGCCCTCGGTTATCGATTATGGCTGCCCCGGAACTTCAGCCCCTCGGTCTCTTCTTGCAAGAGCAGCGCTCGACGAATCTGCGTCAGAGGTCAGTTCACGCTACCCAACGCTTTCGCTCCAGCGTTTCTAACGTGCATGTACCGAAAGTGCCCTCATCCAGGATCAGCAAAACCTCATCGAGCTTCTGGGAGGGATCCTGGTCGACAACGGATTAGGCGACATCCTTGAGACGAACGGCATCGACCGGCCGCGGAAGCCGGCTTCGAGTTCCGAGTCGGGTGCATTCAGCCGCACCTTTGGGCCAACGTCGGCGCCCATCATCTGGAACGGGACAGACCGAGACGCCATACCGCTCACCATCGACGGCGTGCCGCACCGAGCCCAGATCCTGGCCGCAGGCACCGTCGCGTCCTGGAACCGGGTCATGGATCTCTGGGTCAAGCTCGCGACCTGCAGACAGCACCACATCCAAGTGGCGCACAGCCGGGCCACCCTGCAGCTGGAGATGGACGCCTTCGCGGAGGGCCGGGTGGCGCCGGAGCACGGGCAGGAGAGGGTGGAGGAGCTGATCGCGGAGTGCGACGACGACATTGAGAATCTGGACGTCATGCACGAGAATACGCGCTTCGAGATCTGGGGCGTCTGCAAGGCTATTGCGGCCGAGATCATGCATCCGCTCTTTCTCCAGGCTGGGTTGCGGGTGAAGGGGGACCCGACGGAGTGGATGACCGAGATCTACGGGGATCAAACCGGTCGCCTGGAGCCCAAGGTCATTGCCGACGAGGATACCGTGAATGTGTTCACGGAGGGGCTGTGGCGAGGCTAGAGACCTGGATCTGGGAGGGCTGGAGAAGGCCTGATGTTTGCCAATTGCCAATAATGTTTTGCTCAGTGGTTATGACGGGAAAGAAATGGAAACCTCAAGCCTTGCCTTTTCCGAGGCTTATAAACCAGTCGAGAAAATAAAAACACCCTTCATTCAGGGCTTGACGGTTGCTTTCCCCAGCTTTCTCATTAGCAATTGACACGCTATCTTGTTACTAGACCTACATATTCTAGCTTCTGTCCCTCTGCATAAATTTGAAAGAGTCCAGAAAAGCATAAAAATTGCGCATCCAAGTGATGATCACAATCTCAGATCCCCACGGCCTTTACCTCGGCCTCCCAGTTGTTAGGTTTGGATGATAAGCCACCAGATTCTATCATGGTGATGCGGACGATCTGTTTTATAGATGTCTGCCATGAGACTCTCGGGACCGACCTTTCACTTCACTCTTCAGGGATTCACGTCGTCGGCAGAATCGGGTTCCGGACTCGCAAATTCCATGTCTTCACGTTCAAAATCAAAGTGATCGTGCGGCTATCAGAAGTATCGATATAAATAGCGACGTGAGATCGAGGTGGGTGTGGATCTTGTCAAGACGAAGTACTTCCAGAAATCATGGGACTCAGCTTGGCGCCTTCGGTTCCTCGCTGTCCTTCGGACGTTGAAAAGGCTGAGGCAGCACTTTAGGGCGTTAGGTTTCAAGGCTTTGTGGTTCAGCTATCCTTGTGTTCGGGTTTCCCGACGCAGCTATATGGTTTTTGCGGCGGCAAAAACCAAAAGCAGATGGGCCTTCAGGTCTTGTTGAATGGGAGTGTGTGGGCTTTTGAAATTCGGGCTAGCGATATCGATTTGAGTAATTGGCATCTGCGGATCAGAACGGAAGAGACCATATATTTTAAAGATGACAACACTTTTTACTCTGACAACAGAGCTGGTTATATCAAAACGAGGGTCTTGTTCGACGCTCATTGTCAATTCTCTGGCTTTATTCTCTGACATAGGTAAGTCATTGCGATACACTCCGTACCAGAGTTTCAAGTGTACCGGGACTTCTGGAAATACAGAAACCAGAGCATAATATCGTCCAGGGCTTCCACCTATCCTTTGACGTTTTCTCAAGAAAGCCTCTTGATTCAAGGTCTGAGATGACGCAGAAATCGCCTTTCCCCTCGATCTGGGGTAACAGAACCACGTCCGGGGCGATCGCCTGCAGCTTGTCGTGAGCGTATTTATGATATGCTTCTACCATGTTCGCTTACCAATTCAAATATCCAAACGGATGAATGATAATACCCTGATCCGTTTCCAGCGTTACGAGGCCTTGTGTTTCAAGGCTCTGTGGCTGAGTGCTCTGTGTCTCCGGGTTCCTGACGTAGCTGTATTATTTCTGCGGCCTATATAAGCTAGACCTTTCTTGAGCAAATCGGCGTTTCCCATCTCGACATCCTTTTACACAACCTGAGGACTCTTAGGAGGCAGAACCAGGACATTCGCCAGAGAGTGAAGAGCCATCGTGGAAAAGCCTAGAGATATGGGCACTCGAGCGGCTCTTAGAGAGTCAGATAGTAGCCAAAGGTATCTTGTATTCAAATGCGCTCCAAAGCATACTGTCGGGGAACGCAAGGAGGCATCAGTCAGAGACTGCAGGTTCTCCGTGACTTTCGGAATGTTACGCGCTTTTACATGGAAGTATAGATTTGTTTCTGTACTTATCATCTCGTCCTCAGAAAGCAACTGGACTGCGATTACAGTGCTGTCGCTCGTGTTTTTATTGTCGTTTGTATTCCCTCCTTTCGAAAATGTACTGCTACCAGTCTAGACTCGGAATTTAGCGCATATCAGCAACTGTCTTGATATAGCCCACAGATCTGGCTCAGGGGTAGATCAAAAAGCTGTTAATAATAGCAAAAGCTGCCGCTAATCGCATCTTGATCGTAGTATATCCTAGCAACACCTCGATTGTGAAGAAGTCCAATGAGGGAATTGAGTGAGGAAAGAAGAAGGGAGGACACTCTCCTCTCACGATGATGCGTCGCGGACCTTATATAAAACACCAGCGGCACCGACAAAGCCTCCCGTGCAGCCCTCTAGAATGCAAGCCTGGATCCCAAGCCCAGCCGTGTTCTCCAGAAGCATACGGTAGTAAGTCCTCTCTACCTCGCAATGAAACATAGACACGGGAGTACCGCTCTCACTTCCAATGTCACACCGCAATCCCAGCGCAAGATCGAGGAGAGAACCATTCGCTATTTATACAGGCAAAGTAGGCGAATACCCTTTTTTCCAACATTCAATGTCGTTTTAGAGGAACCTTGGAGAGGGATTCCTGCGCCTTCTCGGCTCTAGGACACCGATTAGTGCAACCCGCCAGAATGATCCAGCGGGGGGGAGCCAGCTTGGAAATTCCTATGAACGAACTCATGAAACTGGTCTTTGAGAAAAACACCGTGCTCGTAACAGGGAATAGACGAAGGATACGGCGAGACTCTGAACCACTCTTCTTTCCCCCTTAGAAGTAGGCACATAAGCCCCATAAGCCAGCGTTCGGAAGCATGTTTTTTTCACAGCTCCTTATGCGATCCCCTCTTTAATCGCTTGATCGGCAGCAAAGACCTGATCGACAGCAAAGACTTTTCTTCGCGAGAGCCAGGGATTCTTTTTTTCTCATCGATCAGTGAACGAAACAAAGTCAAAAAGGATCATAGAAAGAAGATCACGAACTGATGGCGGAGGAGATCGATCATCCTTCTCACGTCGAAAGGTGGCGTGCAGATGCGGCGCGGTGCTTTGTCATGAGCTCGTCGTCGTCGTCGTCGTCGTCGTCGTCGTCGAGGGCGGTGCCACGGTCGCGGCCTCGATCCTACGGTATTGCCCCCCTCTGGTGGCTGCGCTACGTCTGCGAAAGCGAGCCCGGCTGAGATCTCGGGCTTTTCAGAGGTTCCCTCCCTGACACAAGCAGGATACCATTCGCTCCCGGATTCAATTTTGACGGATTAAATTTTGATTACGTGAATTGGTTTTTGATACTACTGAAATTGTCGTGCGGTACAGGGTTATAAGACTGGTTACTGCGATGTGCATTGCAGGTCTGCTCTTGCACATCAGAAACCACTACGCAAATTCAAGAAGAGGCCATCTTCGGGGTTGAGTGATCTTGAGGAAGCTAGGTAGTTGGGTAAGATATTTTTTGTAGAGAGTATTGTATGGAACTTGAGGTGGAAGTATATGCCTCAACATCTGAGCGTGTATGTACCTTTGTGCCGCCGTACCGTATCTGGAGAACCCTTCACCGACAGCGAGGTGAAAGTATTACCTGAAGCCCTGCTCACGTATTTTTATCTCTATGCATTTCAAGCCACCAACCTCATAATAGAATCAAGTATACCGCAAATAATCACAACTAGCACCTTATGAGCATATTTTGCGGGAAAGAAAGATCAAAGTAAAGGCCTGATGCGCTTCCGTGTTTGATAGAATGATGTTTCAAGGTCAGGAGTTTACTTGAAGAGCCAGCCAGCGGAGATGAGAAGGCTAGAGGGAAGGGATGCGCCTGGAAAAACGTGATACGTCAGATTCACCACAGGGGCAGCCGTCGATATGTATCTGGAATAGCTAAGTGTAATGCGGCAACTGCGTCGCCTCCATCTCATTCCCGACCCCCTTCCTATGAACACTCTGCGCAATATCAATCACTCCCTCAAGCTGACCATCGGCACGATTGCTAACCCTCTTCATCCCCTCCGTCACCTTGAAATGCGCCTTCAAGGGCGTCCAACTCTCCTCGTTGTAATCTTCCTGCACCTTCCTACACGTCTTGAGCCCCCATTCCGTGACCCCGACCATGAAGCAGCTCTCGAACATAAACGCCATGCTTCCCTCTCCAACCTTGTGCGGCTTCAACTCCACATTCGACGCCTTCGCGTGCGTGCCAGCGTCAGGCCCGTGAGCGCTCATCACGTTGTGGAGACTCGCACCTGCGGGCTGGAAGCCTTTCCCGGACTTCGCGTCGTAGTCGCCTGTGATGAGGCCCATGAACTCGGACATGGTGTTGCGGTGGTACCAGGGGGGACGGAATGTATCTTCGCCCACGAGCCAGCGAGGGGGGAAGATGACGAAGTCGGCGATGGCAGTACCGACGTGATCAGATGGTGCTGTCAGCACAGTGAAGATACTAGGATCAGGGTGGTCGTGGGAGATGGATCCAATGACACTGAAGCGGCCTAGGTCGTACTTGTATGGGTAGTAGAGACCGTGCCAGGCCACGACATCGTACGGGGTGTGGGTCTGGGTGGCAGCAAAGAGGTGGCCGTTGAACTTTGAGAGGATCGTGTAGGTTCCTTCCGGGGCTTCGTCGTAGGAGGCTACTGGAGCTTGGAAGTCCCGGGCGTTGGCGAGGCAGTTGGATCCGATGGGCCCGAGTTCTGGGAGCTGGAAGTGGCCTTGGTATAGCTCGAGTATGTATCCACGAACTGGACCTTCTGGAAGCTCGACTCTATATCGAATCCCGCGCGGAATAACACAGATTTCGTTAGGGCGGACGAGGAGTCGGCCAAGCTCGGTTTGGATATCAAGCACTCCGTGTTGAGCCACGATCAAAAAATCTCCATCTGCAGAGTAAAATGCTTGGTTCTTGTCCATGCTCTTGCCCGCAGCGAATATGAAGATTCCTATTCCAGACTTCAAGGTGGGTTCCCCAGCTCCAGCTACCAGCTTCAAGCTGTGTACCCAATCCACCGTCTCGTCCAGGTCAAAAGGATCCCACCGCAGCTGGTTGGGAATCTGGTGTAGCTTGTTCCCTTCCGGATTCGTGTTGTACGTAGAAGTCTCGCGGGCAGTGAAGGGGGAATGCGCAGCTGCGGGCATGATTCTGTAGAGCCATGATTGTTGATTCTCGTGGCGGGGGGCTGTGAAGGCTGTTCCTGAAAGCTTCTCTGCGTAGAGGCCATAGGGAGGCTTTTGAGGCGAGTTTGCTCCTATGGGAAGAGCACCTTCAACAGCTTCAGATCTGCCAGCCGTTAGAAATTGTGAGAGAAAATTATAAAATTATGCAGACCGTACTCGTGGTAGGAAGCAAAACCGTTCTGGTACTTGTACTTCTCGAGCGTGCTGAACTTCGTGGCCGGCATCGTTGCGGTTGGGGTCAAGTATAGGGTGTTTTTGGGGTGAAAGTGGTTCGCAGATGATAGTACGTTTTTATGTGTACTGCTGGTGCGACTTTTTGAAGATTTGTCGCATTCGTAAAAGAAATCGAACTCATGGTGATGGTGATGGTGATGTTGACTTGCTCACAATCAAAGGAGACGGAAAGCTACCCCGCCCCACTAAGCTCTCACTCGGCTCGTACTTAATCTGGGGTTCCGCGGTTCCGCACTTCGCGGTAGCGATTCCGCCTGGGGTGTGTCTCGAGAATGATGATAGAATGAGAATACCGAATCTCAATCTACTACTGTAGACACACCCCAGATCCAGACTTTGCAGCAATTACTTACTACTACGACCATAACTTTCTTACACTTTTCTCCTTAGTTAATACTTACAACCGAATCAAGAGCCCCCCTCATCCAAAGTTCAGAGTGTAAGGAATCCTGCTATTTCTCTTGCCTATATTACATACCTGTCTCAGGTCTAACATGCCGTACCTGAACTCTACTCTGTAAGGCTTGAATCGCGCTTGTCGAAGCTGAGAAAAGAGCTGGAGCTCCACCTGGTACTTCCTAACCGGTATATTTCGGACGGCCTGAGAAATCGAGACGATATCTTAAATCTCGTAGATCGACTTTCAGGCTCTAGCAAACGAGCTGGAAGGTATGTTTTCTATGCGGTAGTTTTCGTCCCTTATCAGTATACAATGGCATTAACACTCATAGAATTAAGCGAGGAAGAGACCACCAGAAGAGGCAAGCATATCAAAAAAGCTTTTCTGAAATCTTGATGTGCAGGCCGTCTGCTTGAGATCCGCATCGTCCGCGAAGACTCATCCAATCAGGGCACGCACCTCATAGATCTTGGATTCGCGAGAAGGGATTTTTGAAATCCTGTATAGCGAAGTCATATATTGCGACAGGTATCTAAGCCAAGTGTGAATTTACGCATACATCCGGACTTCCACGTCATAAGTCGCCAGATTGAAGCAGGATCTTGTGTGCAGAGTTGATAGTGTCTACATCTGGCTCTGTAGTTAGCATGATTGGCGCTGTTTCTCTTTGATGGTGTACTGAAATTCGATCGTAAATATTCTTATATGTATAAGACTGATGATAACAACCTCGCTCACCTTTATGTTTGCAAGCATAAGCGTCTACTTGCAAGCCTATTAAGCCACGCTAAACCTCGAGCTGTTAGTAATAGTCACATGAAATTCATAAAAACACCATATCAATTTTCCGGAACCCGACACTACCACCTATCCGTTGAAAACAGACCGCCAGAAGTCCCAGGTGGCTACAAGACTATCGCGCGTGGGTATACCCGGCGAAGCAGTTGTCCAGCCGCAAAACATATTCTCGGTAAATTTTTGTTCGGGGCCAGACGACAATCCGTCCTGAAATCCGGGAAACGCTCTTCCCTTCGTCGACGCAAAGGTTTCATACTCGTCGGTTTCTTACTGTTGGAAGGTTTGTTTGTATGCGGATATTGAGAATGGGCTGGTAGAATCGTCTCACTGGGATAGAGAAATACGCAGCAACTTCTGCACAATTCCTCTTATCCAATACACTGAGGCGCGTACTTGTCGACTCTACGGTGTCCTTGAAGTCAATCATGGAAAAAGCATGGATGTGCTGATTCAAAGATCCGTATCAGGCTCAAGATGACATTCTTCTCGGGACCGTCGGTGTGGCTGCTGTGACTGCCGTGCTGGGTGAGCTTTTCAATGGTACCAAGTATCCACCCTCCCGTCACTTGCCAATGAAATGACGAAGAGAGCATCCCAGCCTTCAAAAAGTAATCAAAAGTCTTTAGGATGACTGTATACTAGCATGGGCTTGTAGATGTATATCGCAGTAGATCTTGACGTGCAAAATTACTTCTATAGAGCCGACAGCCGCGAATGGTCAACTGGTTCAAATTTGGGACCGCAGCTTACCTTAGTGCCTGCTGGTCAGAGCTCTCCTCTCTCTAGTTCTGTGGTATACAGGCACACCTGGGGTGAGATCCTGATATGGCCTCAGAAAAAATTCATAGCGCGATGGATGGATCTGGATAGTTAGTTGGGTGTATTTTTTTCCCATTATCCCGTCGCGCCTTCTCTGCCTGTTGCAAATGTGACCGTAACAGCCCCGCATGGTTTTCGCCTCCATCGTATTGAAATGTAGATTGTAGAAGTTCTTTCAAATGTGCACGCTTCTGCTGGGCATTTGGTTAGTCATCATTTCGTCGACTTCTTTGGTAGCTAAGGTACCTATGCATCGTGAAGCTTCTCTGTCTCATCGCTCACTAGCTGTCCACTGCAGTACATAAGCAGGACCAGCTTATTCCAACACCCTAGTCTGAATTTTTGCTGTAATTTTTTTCCAATTACAGCTAGAATGGAAAGTAGTGATGCAGTGACTTGGGTAATGGAGTCCAGCCCAAGCGCGACGCAGAAAGGTACAAATAGAGCCGCCATTCCTCTGAACCTCGATCTTCTTCACAGCTTACCAAGTAACAATCTCTCTGAACTTCGATCTTCCTCACCTCACACATTACCAACCTACAATCGCTACGGGCCATATCCACAGCATTCGCCATCGATCGCAACCCAACCTTCCCTTCGAGTCTCGATCAGCTTACAAGCAAACATCAAGCTACAAAGCAACGTCCCTGCCTTTACTTACCGCACGCACCGGTAAATACACGACCTCACCGAGCAGATATCCATTTCACATCGCCATGGACTCTCAAGAGTTGCTCGTAGCGGAGATCCTCGCCTACGGGCCCGCTCGGCACCACGCCACTGCGGACGCAGAACCGCCGGACGCTGAAGTGATGCAAGCTGCCCACATCTTGGTGGTTTCGCATCAGGACGAGAAGGCTGCAGGAGAGCCAGAAGGGATGGCTGAGTCCGATGCAGACCTTTCGGATTCGGACACGGTGGTCGGGACCTGGGACGACGCGGAAGGTAGAGTCATCACCCCGAGCGAGGGAGGATATGGGGTCTGAACAGCCGATGCCATCCTCCATCCGTCCTCGCAAGACGGCCACCGTAAGGCGGTCAGCGAGGAGGAGGGCCACGGGAGCAGAAGAATATATAACGGTTGATTGTTAAAGATGGTCCCAAGAGGTTGGCATAGCTAGGAGATCACCCCCGGTTTATATCCGAGAGTGAGAATGAGTAGATGCTGAAAACAATCGTTTTGACCGTTTTGGAACGGTGCCGAGATGGTCCCCGAACTAGAGACCGTTCCCGATCTGAAAACCGTCCCCGAGAACTTAGATTAGTCAGCAAATTATTAGTTCTTTTCGCTTTTCCTCGACCCCTTTTCCCTCCTGTTCCCCGCCATCCTCATCCCCACCCTCCTGACACGGCCGTGTCGTTACGGTGATCATGTGAGCACCGGCTGGCACGATCGTTAATGCCCCCCCCCTGTTTGCCTTTATGGCAGCACCCTTTCTTTTACTAGGCCATTCAATACCATCTAACCCCATTCAATCAGACTTGATGTGATTGGCCCAATTGGCTCTTTTCGTGTCTGATATTCGTTCTTTTCTCGTGTATTAATTTGTTGGTTGGTTGGTTGGTCTCGTCCTCCCTTTCATCCGTTCTGGTTACCCTCCCTTTCCCCCTCCCTCCCACTTTCTACCGTAGCCGAGCCCACTACCCCGGACCCCGGATTTTCCGAATCCCCGCCACATGGTGGGGGAAGGAGCTGAGGATGATGTCGATGTGAGACTGAGAGGGAAGTGGGGTCACGACTGCCATGATGCATCCTGCTATCCGATTGGCTTGAAGCTCTTGCGTAAGCGAAAGCCCTGGCAAAAACAGTACAGTAAGTAGCAGGAGCAGTCACGCCATTCGTTGTAAGGGGGATCGTTGGTCGGACATCCATCAGTTGATTCGCGGGTGCCCGATTCGGTTCCGTTCACTCCATTCACTTGATTCACGCGACTCACTCGATTGACTTTGACCCAACACTGATCTGATCTGATCTCATCTGATCTGACCTCACTCACATTCCACTTCACCTTAACTTACCACTTACCCCGCTCGAGCTCACTCACGTGTCGGCCGTGACCGTGATATTCAAAACCCTCTCTCCTCTCCCTTTCTTCTTCTCCCTTCTTCTCTCTCTCTTCTTCTCTCATTCTCTCTTATCCATTCACACGTCTTCTCTTTCAACGACGACGACAACAACAACAACAACAACAACAACATCAACATCAACATCAACAATCACCTCTGTCATCTCTTGACTTCCTCTCTCCATCTCTACTACGCTTCACATCATGGCGACAGAAACTGCAGCCCCCGTCCCCTTGACAAAGGTCGACTCCGCCGTGCAAGGCCTGTCGAGTAGTCCGCCCAAGGAGACCAAGCGGAGAGCCAGCTCGAGTGTCCCCGGCGTGTTCAACATTCTTGATTTAGGTAGGTGTGGGATCTCTCTCTCTCTCTGTCTCTCTCTATCCTCTCCTCCTTTGCCTTTTTGGAGAGACAATTGAGAAGCTAACATGAGGACAGAAAAGGAGGGCAAGGAGCTCTTGATTGCCAAGGAGACGCAGAAGCTGAACTGGTGCGGCGCCCCCTATCGACCTCTCCTCTGCCTGCCATTACACTCTTCATGTCCAAATCCCACCCAACCAAAAGCAGAAGCCGATAACATAGAGCACCTACTGACCCTTCCCTCGCACAGGCGCATCAACAAATCTCCCATGTCCATCGACGACCCCGAGAAGGCCTTCCTCAAGCTGATGCTCACCGAGCCCCCCGTCAAGAAGATCGATCTGCACTTCCCCCTCGGCCTGGAGGTGACGGCGCGGAATCTGAGAGGTGTGACGATCAAGGATGCGCTGGACGCTATCTACAAGCAGTTCCGCAAGAAGGTGTGTTTCGTCTACACTCTTCTTTTTCATCTATCCATCTGCCATCTGCCACCTGCCACCTACCACCTTTGCCCACATCTCCTGTAGCTTGTCTCGTAGCCTCTCCTGTAACCTCTCCTGTAACCGTGACCTCTCCCCAACGCCAACGCCCATTCCATAAACCACATCACAAGCTGACACCTCCCTCCTCCTCCCCTCACAGGCCGACGATGAACTCGAAACCCCTGTCCTCGCCGGCTTCGAATGGGATAAAGAGGAGTCCTGGACCCGCCTCGTGGTACACTGCAAGAAAGAAGGCGCACCTCAGCCCAAGAAGAAGGCCAAGAAGGCTGCCCAGGAGGCCACCGGTGACAACGATCTCTAGATAGACTCTCAACACCCTTTTTCCAGACCGCAACTGTATAAGCTCGGCCCTCCATTCTACCCTCGACTTCGTTCTTGATGTTCGGAGAGAGGAGGTGAGGGAGTGGACGCTGGAGAAGCATATGCACGCGTTGTTTTTCTCGCAGTTTTTCTTCGGAGGTGGGTTTGCATTTTGCTTTGGCTTGGGGACTCGCTCTCTGCCTTTGATAGCTTATCGTCGGCTCGAACGATGCGGGTGCTCGCGGGCGAGGATGGGATGGGCCGGGAGGTGATCGTACGGGGTGATCAGTACGGATATGGAAGGATGCGCGGGGGCGCTATCTATCAATCAATCGATCGATGATTTTCCAAATATATATATATATATTTAAAAATTTGCAAATGCTAGTGCAAATTTTGTATTTCGGATTCAGAATATGATTAGAATGTGAATCGGCAACGATTTCAAGGTGGAATTTGCTCCGCTTTGCTCTATGGTTTCCCCTTTTCAGCTAATCCAGGATCGTGCTCGTACTCGTACCTGTCCCAAATAATCCAACGACTTCACATGCATCCGCGCACGCCCAACACCAACACCTACCCTACCAACCAATCAGCTTTTTCTTTGCTTTGCTAATCTGATCTGCAGAGAGTGGTTGCACACTCTCGGGTACCTGCCTGTTCTGCTCTGATCGATCACGGAAACCATCTCGTTAGTCGCGATTCTCGATACAAGTTTGGATATAAATATTTCAGCTTGGCCCTCTTGCGACGACACCATTAGCTGCTGGCTATGCGCTACTCCCCTGCCTGGAACGGAATGGAATGGAATAAGAGGTGGAAAGTTGAGGAGGAGGAGGAGGAGGAGCTGCTGTACGCAAGATATCTGTTTATAGGTTTGCTAAACCGGTCAGGCTTACTTATAGATCACTCGGCGACCCGTCGGCGAGCCATAGCTGGACGAAGGAAGCAGTAAAGGGGTAAGGAGTGAGGGAAATCATATGTTTTTTGAAAGTGAGGAACGGGGGGGATGTGAGATTTTTTGAGGAAACGGTATATGGGTTCTAGTCATGTATGTCTTTAGAAGTTAAATGCAAGTCTGAAGACTCGGGACAGTTTTTCATCTTCGTTTTCTTTCTCTTTTTATATCCCATTGGAAGGAATTGAGGGCTTTTCGCTGCGGGTTTGATTGCAGGAGATTGTAGTGCGTGATTGGGAATCTGTAGGGCCTACTTGGTGATCTTGCTGCGCGTTAGACCTGTCTATCTACCTCCCTACCTAAATTACACTTCGATAGAAAAAGGTTTGAGCTTCCGCCGATCAACAGATCTAGCTTCCTTCTTTTTCTTCTTCTCCTCCTCCTTCTTCGGTCCGTACCGCGCGTGCACTTGGCCAAATCAAGTCAGCCCTAGCCTTCCGAGTCTGGGGCGCTAGCGGGAAACTAGACCGAGATACCAATTGATCTCGACTTCTCACTACTCAACCCAACCCAACCCAAACTCAGTTCAACTCAACTCAATCGAACCCCAAACCCTTCACATCATCCACCCTTCTTCCACCCTTCTATTCTTCCATCCACCAACAGAACAGCAAGAACCCATACCCCATCTCCCTCTACCAGATCAAGAAGAAGACCCAGCGCAAGAACTTCTCGCTCGAAGAACCCACCAGACTTACTGCCGTCCCGCAGGAAGATATCAGTTGGTTCACAACACCCTACAACTGCTTCATTGTAAGTAACACCTGAGCTGATTAGTTAAATCCCCCTCCCCCCTCCCCCCCTTCCCCCCTTCCCCCCTTCCTCCCCTCCTCCCAAAAGATCGATCCAATCTCCAACACGCAGCATCTGCTAATGAATAACGAAAACGAATAGACCTGCCAGCTACCACGCACACGCAGAACACGTCAGATCCAGGAGACCGTAGCATACACAAGAAAGATGGCGGACAAGAAGAGCTTGGCTGAGAGATATCCGTTGGGACCATTTGCTGGTACGTTACACACATACATACATACACAACATACACATACATAGCCGAGTTTCTAGGCTGTTAGGCTAAACCTCGGCTATGAGCCTTCACTGTTGTTGACGGGCTCGTGCCGAGGTTTCTACGCGACAAGTCCTACTACCTACTAACTCCCCTTCTCAAACCTCCACTCTGCTCTTGATACAAATTCACAGAGGGAGGGTTGCTCTGTCTGCCGCTGAGAATTATCCTGTTCCTGTTTCTATTCATACTCCAATTCCCGCTTTTTCTCTTTCTCACCCACTTACGCACTCACCTTTCCTTTTCAACAAGAACAACCAAAACATGCCCAGGTTTCTATAAAGATCCTGCCTGCTGGTGTTTGTTTTGTTTGTTTGATTAGTATGGGATTGTTACTGATGCGCTTTCAAGCCGAAGCCGCTGTCAACGCCGCCGCCCAGGGCCTGCTCGCCCTGGCAACAGGCACCGGCGAGGACCTGGCACCAGCAGGAGGAGCAGGAGGAGCAGGAGGAGGAGCAGCCGCCGCACCAGCCGCCGCATCAGCACCAGCCGCCGAGGACCTGGCACCACCAGGAGAGGCAGGAGAAGCAGCCGCACCACCACCACCAGCCGCCGCCGCC